GGTGTGATGGCACCAGGACCAGGGCAAGGAGGCCTAATCCAATAGTCTTTCATACTGCACAGCCAGGCTATTCCGAGGACATGGTTTGGGGATGGTTAGCCACAGTGCTGCAGTGTGTGCCATGTGCCTGTGGTCCCCAGTTCCTGTGAGTTCAAAATGGAACAATAAGTGCTCTAAGTGTGGCAATAAAAATGGGTTCCTATTATACCAGGAAGCTAAAAACAAAAGAACCAAAAGCCAACCATCATAAAGCTGCTCCTTAAGTGAACCAGTCTGCCCGCAAGTAGCAGCCTAACTCCCACAGTACTCCATAGTGGTGAGTCTGGGGGCTAGACTGAGCCTGGGTCTTTACTCAAGGTGGTCTGAGGGAATGAGGCCGGGGAAGGGTTGAACCTCAGTGCTATGGATGTGTGAGTGTGTTACAGTGGACTGTGGTTGTGAGTACAAAGCTCCAAGACCATCGCCCCAAAGAGGAAGCTCAGGATCCAGGTATGAGGAAAGATGAGCAATGCAGAGGACCAGCTAAGCTTGCTGTCAGAGTTCAGAAAGCAAGGGCCAGCCTGGCCTAGCTCTGAACCCTGAGCAGTCAGAGGAGCTCTCAGTATAGCTTCAGCTGGTTTGTAGTGAAATGGGGCTGTGGAACATATTCTGCTGGTTCACTGACTTGCCAGGGAGGAGGCTCTTATAGAAATGGAAACGACTAAGAGGTTGGAATGTGGGGCAGATAATGTGAGGGGGGAAGCAGGAAACTGCTCAGCCTGTAAGTCACTCTGGGAACCACCTATATCCAGGTCTTAAAGGGTGTCTACCACCTGACTGGGTCACTCTCAAACCACATGGGGGCCACGGGGAAGATGCCAGGATATGGAGTCTTTCACAAGTTTCTCCTCACATACCTTTGTTCAAATTATTAGTCTGGAAGTTGGGAAATATTTTCACTTCAGAGTTCCAAGAGGGGAGTTGAGAAGCAAACTGAATTCTCTTCCTTCTAGGAAAGACTGGGCCATCTAACTCCTTAGGGAGTCAAGAGACTGACTGATTGAGACACCTACCCATTCACCCATCTGGCCAGCCAACTAATAAGTTCTATGCCAGGTCTGATCAAGGGACAAATACCAAGTCTTTGCCCTCCAGAACTGTGCAGTGTTTTGATGGTCAACGTAAAAAGTTGGGTCCGCAGGCCCCAGGGAATTGAAGGGCTGTGTCTGTTTTCCTCCCTCACAGACCCTGCCAAGTGTGCCTTTAAGCTAAGATTCTTAACAATTCTACACTGAAGAGATTTTAAAATGTAATCACAATGTAAAAATTCATGATTAAACACGCTTGCTTGTTTTAACACAGTTTCTTTAAACTAGTACCTCTGAGACTAAGTTAACATGGTTAACTTGCAAAGAAGGCTTTGCAAACATTCGACTAGCGGTCTAGTCCCCTCTTTGGTTTACAGCTGGGGAAAACTGGGAGAGTGAGCAGAGGAGAGCAAAGTCAGATAGAAATGAGTGGTGATCAGGCCTGAGACCTCGGCTCCTTGTCCCCACTTGGCTTGGAGAGCTGCCACTCAGTGTGGGGCAGGGAATTGGCAGAGTGTGAAGTTTGGGAGAAGCGGTGAGCCATCCAAGTGCAGACTGCATGAGGTCCCCAGGAAAAGAGGTGAGAGGCCAGAACAATGCGGAGAATTTGTCTTGGAAGGGTGATGTTGAACTCACATCTGAAAAGCACCCTCAAACATATCCCCAACATTGGTTGCTCGTATGGAGGAAGTTAGACAGGTAGGGATTCCTCTTAAATCCAGGGAAGGGCCATGACAAGGTGGTGATCAAACAGGTGATCAAACAAAATCAAGAGTCAGGATTTTGACCAAGGGACAAAATCCCTTTAAAGATATTGTCACTTTAGGGTTTGTAAAATAAAACTAAGGAACTTCAAGCAGAGGGGTTGCCACATGGCCTCCCAAATGACCTCTTACCCTAACTCCATCACAACCCTGACATTAACCTGAACTCCCCAAGGAGGGGATGTCTTATTTTGCATCAGGTTCTCAGCTTGACACAGGGCCTGTCGAATGCTCTGTATGTGAATCAAAGTGGCAGAGTTCGATGATCAGACTGCATCTGTAAGAAGCAGCTGCATCTGTAAGGTCAGCTGGTAAGGGGATGGACAGAAGAGAGGAAGTAACATTTGGGAAGACTTCACCTTGGGACAGGCTCTGACGGATGCTGTGATATTTTACAGGTGAGGAAACAGAGGTTCAGAGAGGCTCAGTGACAAAGGCAGTGTCTAGGGTTCCCCAAGGCCTTGACTCTCTACCTCCACTCACCTTTTGACCTCCTTTCCCAAAATCCTGGAGGGAGATCAAGGACTTCTGTCTGAAGCCTGCAGCTGCTGCATATTCAGCTTCGCCTCTTCACCTTGTACCTTCTTTATAATCAAAGTTTTCTCTTAAGATAAGGCATTGCCCCAAGACTGTCCTATGTCGGGCTTTCAGGGAAACACTGTGGAGGGAGGGTGCTCGGCAGCAGCTGGGCAAGCTGCTCTTAGGGTCATCTTCTATCACTTGATGTAGAGAACCCTTCTTTCCTCTTTTTCAGGGCAGTGGCCCTTTCATCCATTTGGGGATAACCTTTACCCCAGGTGCCAGGTAACTGGGTTCTTGCTCTAGCAGCTGACTGGCCTTGCCTGCAGCTACTCAATGGGAGTCAGCTCCCTTTTATCATTTTCCTGTTCTCCCCCCAGTTTTCTCTTTCTCCTAACTTTCCCTCCTCACCCACCATTTCTTCTATCCACTTCTTCCAGTTCCCAAAAACCTAGACAACCTTGCTGCTTTCACTACTCAAATGCAGACCTGTTTCTACCGAAGAATTCCACCTTAAATGGTGTTGACTGGGCCACTACTTTACATCAGAAACGGATGTGTGATGGCTCCAGTTAGCTAGAAAATGAAGATTTCTCACGCCCAAATCTGGGAGCCGACACCAGCATAACTGGCCCTAGGCCCCCTTCCCTTCCTGCCCGCGCGCCCCCCCCCCCCAGCCCCCATCTCTCAATATAGGCCTCTAGCTTTGTAAACAGCCTGACCTTCTTTATCCCCAAAACCCTTTTTGGGTTCTGATTCTAGGGCAGTCAGATACTGGTAACCCTTCATTTTACTTTTAACCTAGTCTCTCTGTAAGCACGGATATCCTTGACTAGATGGTAAGATGTAACACCTCATCTATTATTTCCCTGTTCAAACATTTACACTTGTCTTCAGATCTCTGCTTGCGCATCAGTCCTCCCCAGACTGCATCAGAGCCTTTCTTCAATTCCCAGTACATTAGGGCTACCAAGACTGTTTTTGTTCCAAAGACCACACTTTACCATAAGGAAACTGAGGCCTAGAGCAGGACACAGATCAGCCTAACCCAGGCCTCAGTGGTCTTGTGGTTACCAGCTCCATGTACTTCCTTGCAGCCATTTCACATTAGGTGTCACAGCCACCAGCCAGGTGTGTGATTTTTGAGGCTTGCTACCCCTACTTTTTTCGGAGAGGTATTTCCTTTTCATTTTCTTGAAAGGTGTTTCGGGGATGAGGGGCAGGTTATTGCCAATGCTGCCTTGGCAAGGTGGAAAGCCCTGTTGGGCAGACAGAACGCTGACTTGGCAATCACCTCGGGAGATGGTGGGCTGCAGGCTCTCTGCTGGGAAGGGCCACACATCTTTCAGAGGGAGGCCTGTTTATGACCCTCAAGTGGGCTTGACCTAAGACAAAAGTTGCTTTCTGAGGAGAGCAAAATAAGCAATCATCTTGGCTTCGTCTATCATCCAGGTGCCTCCACGGGATAGTAGGGCTACGAAAGCCTTTTTTGTTTGTTTGTTTTGCTTTTGGAATTTGCAATGGTTTATTTTCTTAAGTCTTTCCACAGGCCAGAATCATGTGCTCCTGGAGAGTCAGGCCTGGGTCTTGCCCCTGAAATCCCCAGCAAGCCAGTGTGGAGGGTTCAGAGTTTGCTAAACAAACCATCCTTTCTTTCCACGTGTGCAACTCCTCAGCTTGTCAAGGCTTTGCTGAACCATGAAATATATCCAGAAATCCCAGAAAAGAATTGAGATATAAAAACGTGACAGAATCAGATAGGGAAAATATTGAGCAGATGTAATTGATAAGTTTGACTCCTTGAAAATACCTTTAAAATTGACAACTCTTTGGCAAATTTTGGTTAAGAAAGGTCAAAGCAATAGTATGCCACAGGAGTGAAAAGGAGGACCAAATGATGGTAGGGAGATTTAAAAAGGCTAAAGAAAATGAGACAAACCTTTATAACCATAAACTAAAAATTTAGGTGAAATAGGTGACCTATGAAATTACCAAAGCCCTCTCACAACTGCTCTCAGAAGACCTTCATCACAGCCCTGTCCCTTGGTCAGGCAGTGCTGCTATCTTTTTGAGATTTCAGGGTGGACACCAGCACAGGCCCTGACAGATACCCCCCTTTGTCTCAGGGGTCATAGCTGTGTGAGCACATGTACATCGACGACCCGGAACTGCACCGTCTGGCACGTCCAACCATCGTGGTAAGCCCCCTGGTTGGTCGGCTAGCCTTATTTATTTTTCCACTTGAAATGCCATAAGGGGTTTCACTTTATTTTTACTTCAAAAGCAGCACCATAAAAATCCTTGATGATTAGAGCTCCAGCTGTCTTAAGTTGTTTGTCAAGGGATCAGTTACTCAAATCTCCTATGGAGGGAAACAGTTTCAGGCGAGAAGCCATGGGAGCTGAGAAAAGCAAATGTCTCATCTCTGAAAACTTTCAGACTCCCTCCTGTTCACTGCCTGGCCTGTCCCCTGCTCTCCCCTCCCCCAACCCCACCATCTGCTTTCCAGAGAGCAGATCAAGTTTTCGGGCCAAGGTACCCTGGCGCCAAGGACCCGGTCCCTCCATGCTACTCCTTGCTCCCCACCAACCTAGAAACCCAATACCACAACCCAAATGGACCGCAGCCACATAAAACCACAAAGTAAAGTTTATAAAGCTTTATTAAACATTTCAAACAGCTGTGCAACGAACACACCAGAAATAAAAGCTCTGGAACAGCAGTCCAAATGTTCCACAAGTGTGGCCTCAAGGTCCCATTCCCTACATGGACTGCCTCCAGTTCTGTCCGCTGACTGGCCTATCTCCCTCCCCATGTCAGGCCAGAGGAAGATGGATAGTTGAGACTGGAAGGACAACCATGTTGATCCCCAGAGGGCCTGGGCCAGGAGAAAGTCTCATTTGCCAACACTTGTTACTGAAGCGCAGGAAAAAAAATAGCAAGTGACAGTCACAAAGTCTTCCTGTGTATTCTTCAAAACAGATAGTCTATATATGCAGGACTGAAGAATCTCCTGGCACGAGGATGATGGCCACTGTTCCCCTCTGTCTTGTCTGAACCACCTTGGAGTCCAATGTGCTGGTCACTCTGTAATCCCCATGCTAAATGAAAACTGTAGCGGCACCTACTAGAGCTAGCTATTGCTAAACCTCAAATTCAGAACACATTTGATAAAGCTTCTTTAAAAGGTACATACACATGTATTTGTACACACACACACGCACACACACGCACACACAGCACACCACACACACAGCACACCAAACTATATCCAAACACCTATCAAAGGGATCATGGTTGTTATGAAACTCACGAACACTCTTCCGTTCACTCGGCTGGGGACTGCTAGGTCTACATGTACACACCACACCTCAATCCTGCAGAGCATGCACGGGAGACACTATGAGGCCCCTCTCCTGGAGACAGCTGAGAAGGGCAGGAGGAAGGGCAAAGGAAGTGAGGCTGGGCTATAAGCATGAGCCCAGACACTCAGGTGAAAGAGCAATATGTATCTATCTTTCTTCAAAATGAAGTGGAGAAAATACTGGAGATTTATGGGCAACAAGCAGTCAAGACTTTTCGTCTAGCCTGCTGAACAGGGAAAGAAGGACGAAAAAGCGAGGCTCTTGGGCGTCAGCAATCTCTTTAAATTCGAGATAAGTGCAAAAATGAGCCCTGTCTTGGACAGGTGCTCCCCCAAAAAGGAAAGGGTGTAGGAGAGAACTAAGGGAAACCAGGAAAGGGACAAAGGAGTCAGTTGGAGAGGGGAGGAGACCCTAACAAGGAGGGGTCACAGAGGTGACATGAGACTGGCATTTTATCTGTCCAGGTCATGCCAGGGTGGTTGACCAGGATAGGCGCAGAGTCCTCGCCGGAATGAGCGAGGATTTGGCCATCCTGCCAGCTAGGAACCAAGATGGGGACAGAACACACATAACCACAAGACCACCCACGACTATAGGACTCTACAATGAAAGCACCAGTCAGTGCCATTATTCACATTATAAGGATAAAACATCACAGGCCAAAAGGCGCCGTCAGGAATGTGGCACCCGCAGGGCTGCGGGATTTGAAACTCCAATGCTTTATGACCTATGTCAATGCCTCCCCTCCCGTCTTCTGCTTCCTTGGAAAGTTAACTGGGTTGTTAGGTGCCCACAACACCAGGGTCATGCGCCGATTCTGGAAGCGGGGAATCAGAGCAGTGGTACAGGAAACAGTTTCCCCAGCAGCTATAGCAGATGAGGAACAGGGCTGCCAGGAAAACCAGGGCGCAAATTGTGCAAGGCTTCCGCTCCAGGAGAAAGCTGAGCAGGTAGAAGCCCATGAACATGGAGTGGCTAAACCACAGGGCGGGGTTGAGTGGCTTGGGGATGAGGAGGACGGGCAGCAGCCACTGGAGGCAATACATGATCTCTGCTGGGCAGGGCCTTCGCCAAGGCTGCCGGGCACCGCTGCAGGAACCAACCTAACGGGAGCCAGCGGACGCGGGCGGCCCCCTCCGCTTTCTTCAACCCTCACTCTCCAGGAGCTGAGCCGCTGTGCTCTCTGGCTGTCAGCCCGGGATCACCAAGGCAGCAGGGATCCTGAAGAGAAAAGTCAACACAACAGACAGACAGACAGACAGACAAAAAAAAAAAAAACAAAAAAAAAAAAA